TCCGAGCTCTTTGGAAGCGGCCTGTCCCCACCTGCTACTGTTACTGACCGCGTCTCACTGACGGCCAGCGAGCCCCTCCTGCCCCGGCCCCTCCCCAGGCCCACCTTCTCGCGCAGCCGCTCGCGCAGCGCCGCCAGGTGCGCCTCGCGGATCTCCTTGCTGAGCTCCATCTTGTAGTTGAGCCGCTGCTCCGCCAGGCGGCTGAAGTTACTGTTCCCCTCCAGCGCCTTGTGCAGCACCTCGCGCTCGTGCTCGCGCCGCTCCGCCAGCTGCTTCAGCACCTGCGCCTCCTGCGTCTGCGCGGCCGGCGTGCGCGTGAGCCGCGACCCGGGCCCCTGGCCACCCCACTTGCCCAAGGACACAGAGCGCCAGAAGCGCGCGCCTAGCTAGCCTGCCACCAGCGCGGGCGACCGCCTCGCCTGGGTTTGCTAGGAATTCCTGGGCCTGGACACTGAAACCCCTGCTTGCCCAGAGACCCCTCAGTCCGTAGGTGGCGGAGGTGGCTCACCCTTTGCCTTTGTGCTGGGCTGAGAGCACCCCCGCTCGTGACCCTACAACGCCCGGGAACTTGAAGGGTCGGAAGACATGCTCAGCCCGGGGTGCCCCAGCAGAGTGGGTGCTCAGGCACACCAGGTTCTGAGCTCCGGAGGGGGTGCCCAAGGGGCTGGAATGGAGGGGGGTGGGCTGCCTGGCCCTGCTAGGGGAGGGGCTGCCCTGGGAGGAACGCCTGGGATGACACTCCCAGGGATCTGAGCTGCCAGCCCCACCATGTGCCAAGCACGGTAGTGTGCTGGGGAAACCATGTCCTCCACCTGGGGCCTGCGTGAGTGGGACAGAGCCACTGGCCGTGCCCACTTGGGGTCTGGCTCAGGACCGCACTCCTGAGAGCTCTGTCTGCGTTTCGGTCTCAGAGGGGCTGGTGCCAGGGGACGGAACCAGGAGAGGCCCCACAGAGCTCCTGGGCAACCCTGGCTGGGCCTCTTCCCTCTCACTTCCCTGCTCAGGGGGAAGATGTCAGCCCCAGATTCATGTCCCCAGGCACCTCCTGGAGACCACCGCCCTACGCCCTGCTGGCCACGCTCAAGGGGGCCCCCAAAGGTGCTTGGCTCCTGTCTCCTCCAGCTGTCTGCCATCTGGGACCTCCTCCCACCCGATTCTTGTGTGGGGGGCGGTCCAGGCCTGGAGCCCTCCCGCCCAGCTGATGCACTAAGCAAGCTCCCTGTTCTGTCTGTCGTGGTCAGCGAGGACCCCAGCCCCTCCATCAGGACCCCCGTGTCTTCTTGCCTTCCTCCGCTCCTCGGCTGCCTCCAGTCGCTTCTGCAGCTCTTCCAGGGAGGTGTCCTTCCGTTTGGGGGGTGAGGAGAGCATGGGGCTCTCCGGAGACAGGTCAGAAGGGGACTTGAGGATGACCTCAAAGCTCTGGCCAGAGGCCCGCTTGTCCAGCTGTTTCACCTCCATGTCTGCAGGGAGACCAGATGAGCAGACCCGAGCCTCAGGGGCCTGGCTGGAGGAGGGGCCTGCTAAGGCCCACGGGGAGAGAGGATCCCGGGAGGAGGATGGTGGGCCCAGGAGGAGGGACAGGCCCAAGAGGAGGAGGGGCGGGCTCAGGAGGAGGGAGGGGCGGGCCCAGGGGAGGAGGGGGTGGGCCCAGGGAGAGGAGGGGCGGGCCCAGGGG